AATGAGGGAGTATTTGGTTTGGCAAGTGAGGGAAATGATGGAGTGTGATTTCCTTTTATCACGACGCGGTGTTTTGGTGTAGCTTCGCGGTGTGTTTCTGTATTATCTGCTAATAAATTCATACTTATGTGGAAAAAGTTATGCGCCCCTGACTACATGTACTATATTGGTGCTACAGTATCGCATGTTAGCGCTTATTTTTTTCTGGGTGGTGAGGGGGTGCGCGGGGTTGATATGTTTTTATAGGTCAGTTGTTGTCGATTGATTTGAACAATCAATGACCCGATCAAAATCATGAACTAAATCCAAAATTGAATATCTCAATCAACAAGAAAGCTTCAAAATTAGGGAGCGTAGTGAATTAAAAAATTAAATAAGAAAGTTCCTTGAAATTTTTTGACCTGGTCAAAATCGGGTGATCCAATTATAAATTGAAGACTTCAGATGATATGAGGCCTTAAAAATTAGGGAGCATAGTGAATAGGAAGCATAGTAAATTAAAATAATTGAACAAGAGAGCTCCTTGAGAAATAATTGACCGGGTCAAAATCGGATGACTCAATTCTAAATTGGAGGCCTCAATTGACTATGAAGCCTAAAACATTGGCAAGCATTGTGGATTAAATATTAGAGAGCATAGTGAATAGGAAGCATAGTTAATTAAAAGAATTGAATAAAAGAACTCCTTGAGAAATCGTTAACCCGGTCAAAATCGGTTGACCCAATACTAAATTGGAGACCTCAATTGACTATGATGCCTTAAAAATTAAGGGGTATATTGAATTAAAGGAATTAAATAAGAGAGCTCGTTGAGAAATCGTTGACCTGATCAAAATTGTGTGATCAAAATTCAAATTGGAGACCTCGATTGAATCAGAGGGCTCCAAACTTAGGGAGCTTAGTGTTATAAAAGAAAAGATTCTATAGTAGCCCAAAGGTGTTTCACCGAATTACTTCGTGGCTGTTATTGTAATACTATACAGAGAAAGAATTTTCTTTAATCACATGACTAGAGAAAATAGGATTAAGGTAACACGGATCATACCAGAAACCAAGAAAAATCCTTATTACAAAAAATAATAATTTTGGACGTTGCACCTAATTTTCCCAAAACTCAAAATTTTGGATATTTAAATGGTGCACTTTGGACGAGTGGTTCAGCTATAGGTTTTGCATTTTAGAATAGATAAATAGAAAACTAATAAAATCCTGAAACATTTTTTCTAGGGTTTCTTGAGAGAGGCGACCTGGAGGCGACTTGCACCCCCTCGAGCCACCAGTGTCGCTGCGGATTCCGTTGGCCTTTGTCGTCTACTGCGGTAGGGGGGATATGGGGGATCCCGGATCCAAATGTCTTGACCGTGTCTCGTAGAGTCTTCAAGTTCTTCGTTGTCGGTGGAGTTGGGCAACATCAACGATGGGAATAATTATTCCTCGACTTTTTCCATGTAGAAGTTGCATCGATGAGTCCATGGATGGTGTCAAACGTCGGGCACTTGGTCTGGTGTGATTAATGCTTGTTCACGACAGCGGCCACATGTGGAGGAGATGGTGTTGCCATGTTATTTTGTTCTCTAGGTCCATATCAATCCAATGAAGCTCAACCAGAGACGGCTTTGTCGAGGAACTTGTAAGGTTGTGTTCCCCTCCTTTGTCTGGTTGGAGTCGAGATTATCCTCTAGCCCTCATTTCCGACTTCTCCATGACGATGATTTACCCAATTCATGGGCACCATTGTCTTCTGGTCTACATAGATGACTTCCCGTCCAGTGCTTCTACAAGCTTATGGGTTTGAACCAGGTTACTCCGGTGAGACGGAGGCCTAGAGACGGTAATGATATTTTTTCATGACACATCATCTATGGATGCAGAAGGAACACAATGCTGATTTGGCAAGGACTTGCACGTAATTTCTTACTAACATAAGAAGGTTTCTTGTGAGGGATGATATTTAACATATGGCCTTTCAAAAATACTTGCTTGCTCTCGTAAAAAAAAGACTTGCTTGGCTCGTTTTACCAAAAAAAAATAGGTTTATCGATAGAGTCCTATCCTGAAACCTGATATACGCATGAAGACACTAAAAACATGTCACTGTGAATTTTGAACTCAAAATATAAATGTATAATGTTAATCCAAACTTTTCATGCAGTGTTCTTATATACAGTAAAGAAGAAAAGCATGACATTGTGAAGAAAAATGACGATAAGAGCTTCACGCTATTCATTCAAATTTTAGACATACACCATGCAACTGAAATCCCTTCCCTATTACTCTAAAATCGGCTCTTAATGCAACATCCATATTAAACCACTCCAACAAACACCAATTTACTAAAAAAAGTATCTAACGAAATCGAAAGAAGTTCTTTTAGGATAAAACAAAAGGGTTCGCAAATAAAAGCGCTAGTGCCACAACTAGTCCATAAATTGTTAAAGCTTGCATAGAAGCTAGACTAAGGAATGAACCTAAAAAGACAAATTGTTGGATTATATCGAGGATGGATCATGTTCATTAGATCTTGACAATTGGGCCTATGAACAATTGAGTCCTTTGGTCAAATAACTCACCCCTCACTGAAATGATGTTTCTTGTTTCTTTGTGGAAAGACACATCCCTTAGTGAAAAATATCTTTTAATGGAAAGACAGTCTCTTGGTGAAATGACCTCTCTTCGTGGAAAGACATATTAGAAAAGAACGAAGGAAGCGGAAATGCCTAATGGAGCTCGAGCTCCATGGAGCCCTTTATTTGAAAAGTTCAAAATTAAAAAAATTAAGTTTCTAAAAATTCTGAAAAAATACTCATATACATATGGATGTACACTACTTCTCTACGAAGTTTCATGATGAAATACCTTTTTATGCGAGCTAGACAAAAATGACAAAACGGCGTATTTCTAATACATATGGAGTACTATTCACTATAAAATTACATGATTTTGGTTTTTTTGTACAGGGCACATAAAAATGTATTTCGCGATAAATTTCGCACACATCTACTATTCATCTATAAGTACTTGTATTTATTTTCAGACTCTTTTTTTAAATTAAAAGGTTGATTTTTGAATGTTTGAAAATTTCAGGCTCCATGGATCCTGAGAGCAAAAGATCCACTCTTCGAAAAAATCACGGCAATTATTAGATCAAAACATTACCAAATCTTGTGTATAACTTCCTGACTGATGCGACCACTGAAATTGCCTTAATTATGTGAGAAAAATATTGTACCAAAATTTAACATTTTTAGTTTGTTATGGACTTCAACGACATTTCAAATTTGTATTTTTAGGGAAACATTTGACCTTTGTAACTCTGTACTTAAAAGTGTAATTTTTATATAAATATTTCAAAATAAACATTTGTAGAACAGTTTAATAATTCCCTGTAGCAAAGCGTGGGGTTTACACCAGTTTCAAGAACCAAGTTATAGCCATTTTCCAGACACACCAATGTACAAAAGAGAAGTCATTGTTCATTCTCTAGCTGCAGACCTTACATGAATCGGTTGTTTTCTGAAACGAACCATCTTGGTCGAAAGTGCAAAGTTGTAGTGAGTACTGATCCCACTAGTCCAAAGTGCAATAGTGACAAAATACCAAAACTGAAGTGAAACAAACTCATCAAAAATTAAAACGAGGCACGGTCCATGCAATAGTTCTTTTATCAAATTGTTGGGAACCCATGACCTCATGGTCACAAGGCAGCAGCTTTACCACTGCGCCAAGGCTCCCCTTCATGAAACTGAGATAAAGAAAAAATATTATATAAATACTCTACAGGATCTCCACAAGAAATATTTCTATGGATTAAAACCTACAGAAATTGTAAGTAATTCAACCCATCGAGATTAGTTTTTTCCTTTTGAATTCAAAAATAAACGTTTCGGGTGGTTCCATAACCATTTATTATATCTGTATGTTTTGCAGAAGTCATGTTTCACAGGGGTTTTCTAGATCAGGACAAGATACAACCTTGGCTCTTAAGTTCCCGGCTTTCAACTCGACTACTCTATTGGGTTAATGGAAATACTATGTAAGGCAAAAGGCTTTTTAGGCCTTCTTGTTGGTCTCACTGGCACACATTGATCCATGTTATTTTTTGGGGTTGTGTCTATTTAGAGTTTGTTTAGGTTTGGTCCGCACCAAAACAATGCTTTGCGCCCAAGTGATGCTCATCAACACAATAGACCCCGCTCAAAAAAAAATAGACATAAAATGTTTGAGCATGAGCTGTTCACATGAACCATTTCAGCAAGTACAACATACCATCACTGTTTACAAAGGTACATCTAATTTTAGCATTCAAAGTTTGTTGACAAAGGCGATTTTGTTTCAAATTGCCTTAGGTACGATTAACATAAGGATATTAATTTACATAGTAAATTTTAGTTTCTTTGCTACGTGCTCCTTGGTCGAAGTCCAGGATATTAATTTACATAGTAAATTTTAGTTTCTTTGCTACGTGCTCCTTGGTCGAAGTCCAAACTTATCGTTATGGGGTTAAACTTCTGGTATGTAAGTAAATGATAAGGAGTAGGACAGCGGTTTGCTTGCTGACCCAACCGATATAAGAATCATGAACACTTTCCTCCTAGAACAGTTTCATTTTCAGTTTTTCTACTCTTGTTTTCAGTTGGAGTTTACAGGACTATCAGATAACCATGGTAAATTTCACGTTGTTCCAACTATTTCCTCGCTGAATTCGACAAATAGCAAACAATTCGTCAAGTCCAATCTCAACAGAATTACAAAGTAGACAGAAGGTATAGTAAATTCACATTGCACAACAGGAAACCAGTATAAGGATAAGATTTTGACTCCATCCAGGACAATTCAGTATGGCAAAGCGATGATGAATACAGTGTGCAAATCACATCAGAAACAAGCTATATATACTCGACATGCTAGACTCTTCACAGCGTCGCAATGATTTTGCTCTGCTGAAATTGAAATACGGTAGTTCTTCTGTCATTAATCATTGTTCTTTTGTTATTAGGATGTCATCCGCAGCAGGATCCACAAGCAGGGAGGGAACCTGAAATTAGAGAATTTGGCTCAGAAATCTCAAATCCACCATTCTGAACAAACAACAAAATCTGGAATTTCAGAAGATAGGACTTACTCTGATCGTTTGATCGGAGGTCAGATAGTGTGCGAGGACCGCGAGGGCCACCTCCGCCGCCGCCCCCACCACCATATGGACCCCCACCAGGACCTCCCCCACCAGGTCCACCATCCCACTTCTTACCACTACCATATCCTTTCTTATAGCTGTCTGTTTTCTCGATCTACAAGATAAGACGCGAGAATTATATTGTGTTTTAACTCATGGAAATATATGGGACAAAAGGCTAATTTGGCAACAATAAGATAATTCGAGCAGTTTAATTCTGATCACTTACAGAAAACATTGTGAGGAAGAACATTCTGATGAAGTTCACAATAGCCTTAAAGAAGTCAGGGATTATGCTTAGTCTCCAGATTGTCCGTTTGCCTTTCACAACACCTGGAAACACAAATGAGATTGATGGTCACAGTCCTACTTAAATGAAAGCCTACTCACATACATACGGACTTAAGATCAAAAGAAGTCGCATAATTATAGAAAACAATCAATGCCAGAAATGAATCCGAACAAATTCAACAACAATGCAATTACATGTACTCAAGGGTGAATTTCGCAACTTTGTGCATGCTAAAAAGTGATCAATCAATTTTCAAATACAACACTGTGAATGCTCCAAACTACATTTTGGCTTCAGGAAAAAGCCAAGGAGTGATCAAACGTGGCCAGGTGCCTCCAAAATGTCACCTCAAACTTGTTCTTAAACAAGACATGCCTCCAGGAACTGACGAATGAAACTGCTAGCACCAATTCATACGCTCTATAAGTGCAATATAACCCAAGAAATCACCCGGAAGTGAGTATGCTCCACTTAAAATCTTAAGTTACACCAAATGAACCAGTCTTCTTTTACTCTAAAATTGATTATAATGCAAAATCTTAATAAAGCCAAGTCAATTAACATTATATTCCCCCTGTAAAGAAATATAAGAGCGTTTAGATCACTACTTTAGTAATCTAAACGCTCTTATATTTCTTTACGGAGGGACCAAACACAATTAGCATGTCATCACTTAGGTCTTACATGCCTAACAGATGCTTTGATCACGGACCTTTCAGCTCACAGGGTTGAAGCTCATAATTTGCCAGAATTACTTCATGAAACAGTGTCCCTTAGGAAGACAAATTTGAGCAACACCTAAATAATCTAGAAATGCCGCTGTTAGTGGTATTAACACAATGAATCACCATCCTAGCAAAGTGTGGGTGATAATACTAGTATAACTCACAAACAGTACGCAAAGAAAACTAGCAATTGTTTACTTTGGTCCATTGAACTGTGGGCAGCTACCTGTTTCACTCAAACTAATTTCTAACGTCACTTATTTTCTTCAGTGACCCACAGAATGACACTAAGTGGCCGAGGTTCCACTACAAATTGGACTACTATGTGCACACACCAAATACAGAGACACTTACTTACGATGATTCAGTAAGGAATATCTCCATTAATCCATGAAATATCATAATAAGCTTGGACATCTCTAACACAAACTTTAAAAAATACGCCAGACATTTTTTATCTGTCTGCAGCCTTCCCTCTTTTTGGCAACAAATAAAGATGTATTTCTATCTTAGTGAACATATAAAACAATACTGAGGACTCGGCTATTTGGACCTAATCAACATGGAAAGAACTCATCCATTATGTGGGGTCTGGAATTGGTGGTAGTATGTAATGTAAAGGAATGCAACCACTAATGCATTAGTTACCAGTCTATGGAGGCCGCCTCTATGTCCTGCTACCTGGATATTTCTCACAAAATTCCGTTTGAACAGCAACGATAGTGAAGGACTGTTCATTTAGCAAGATCCCTTGCTCAGCACACAACTATTGGCAATCAGCCAATCTGGCTAGGTTTTTCCTTACACGTCTGAAAGCAAACATACAGTATGTGGCAACGAAGGAATCCACAAGATGATATTGTCCAAATGATTCCCATAAAATGCACTAGCTGTTGATGTTTTTCTAGAAAACTGAAATAGACAGACCAGCCTGCGGTGCCCGTTGCTGAACATGACCACAGGAATCATCTAGGTGAAATATTTGACGAATCGGGCAGGAGGAACGAACTCACGAGCACGAAATCACAGATCAAAACTTCCACGGTGGATATATAGATTATGAACAGATCTTACATGGAATCTACAGAATCGGAACACCGGATTACCTCTCTCGACGTAGGCCATGGTCGCGCTTGCGCTATCCGGATCGCCCCCTTGCCGCCCTCTTCGATGGAACTTAGGATGAAATTTTGGCCCGGGGTCCGGAGAGAAGAAATAGGAGAGGGGGAGGGACGAAGTGAGGAGGGGATTCGTGAACCTTCCTCGTCCTTCCGCGTGGGAAGACCTGACCTGACCAATGGGCTCGAGAGGGTTGCCGTGCTTGCCTCGTTTATTGGCTGTTGGCTCGTGGACCCGTGGACCCGGAAACTAGGGGTCGTGTGGGGTCACCTGTCAGTGGCTTCGTAGGTTCCTTATCGGTTAAGAGGGCACCACGTCATCTTGTGCTTTGTGAGCCGTTCGATGGATGATATGAGGCTGAAGATGAGCTCTTTACGCCGGACGTCCGGAACGAGTTTCTATCGGACGACTTCTCTTAGAGTGACCTAAAAAAACTCTAACGTGCCGACTCATTTCGCCAGCGTGTGTCTATTTAGATTAAAACAGACACAAAGTTGACTCAGCACGCCGATCTAAACGAACGCGCATCCATTTTTCATTCGTCGGGCGACCCATTCTAGGCCAAAATTTAGGTCTCATTGCGTCGGCGCGGACACAAGCCGGACGCGCGTGACGCCCACCTACTCCTCCCCCTTGCCCACCTGTCGGTTGCACATAGGACATTCTCTTCCTCCCATCGACAGCAAGCACCCGAGCGCCCTATCCCATTGTCGTCGCCGCCCAGTTTCGGTGCCCTCGCCAGCCGTCCGCACCAATATACCTCCCCCGCAGCACGCCACCGTCCAACGTCGTCGCCACCACCGCCGGGCTACCGCAGCTTCCCCCGATGTCGCCGCCAGCACCACCGCGTCCTCGGCTAGCTCCTTCGACGACAACGCCACGCTCGTCAGACGCCGCCAGGCCAGCTACCTGGTCCAGGGGAGGCGCGCGACACTTCGTCGGCCTACTTCTTCGATGACTCCCGCAAATTGTTCGACGGTTTGCTCGCAAGGTACAAACTGACTCCGCCGACGAGTTCTTTTTCCACAATTTCATTTGCGACTCGGATGATTCTTCATCCGACAATGAGGAGATGGTGACTGTTGTGTTGCTCGTCCATGACCACCTGAGTAGGCAGTGGCCGTTGTTCGGGGGCTCGATTCCGGGGCACACTCCGGCGTTGAATCCCAACGAGAGAGCGGTCATTTCTTTCTCTGGAAGGACTATTCCGAGACACCCTATAACACCCCTCCTTGTAAGAAGGAATGTTACCATCACAGAACACAAACCAAACCAAACCTGCTCGTGGGAAAAATCCGGCAGCACCTCCTTTGTATAGTCGGACATCCACGACAGGCAGTTGAGTAAACAGAGCATATATAATATCACAAGCGGAAACATTTAACAAGCTCATATAACCCATATAGAGCAAAGTGGTTGAGCCACAAACCGTTATGCTACACAAGAAGAAGAAAACATATGTTCCCAACACACACGGGTACCAGGTGGGAACTAACAAACTTCAATCCCACCTTGATAAGTAAACATAGTGATCTCAGAAACAAACAATGGCAAAGTTTATACACAACAAGTGGATCCTGGCTATCAAGAATCATGTACTAAAGTATGAGAGTTGTCATGATCAAGCTAGGTGAATGAAAGGGGTGTGTAATTTATGAGTGAACACCCATGGGAACTACACCCTTCCCTACTACTTGCAAAGCCTCACGATGATGTACCTGAAACAAAGTCCACGAGAGGTGACTCCAGAGACCCAGCAAGTACACAACAAAGCATGTAATAAATTGGCTAGTAAGACCATGAAGATGAACCACGTGCTTGAACAAGTGATTGCTATACTCGAATCTACCATGTTTGGAATGACATGAGAAACCATGAAGAAATAATGCAACCAAATAAGACTGAGGACTTGGCTATGAGCTTTTGCCGGCAAGCTGAGGAGGTGCAACGTCTCACCTCACTCCTTTTCAACCCTCACCAAGTGAGAGGACCATAACATGAGGACGGACTCGAAGGACCATACGCTCGCAAAGCGAGGATCACTCCTTGAACTTGGAAGATTCACTCATGATGGATTTTTAATCAAGAAGAACAAAGAAGAAACAATCCCTATCACATACCAGTGGTATGCTATATTGAATCATACACTAGGGATTTGTATGTTCACCATTGCATGAATGTAAAAGAATTGTGTGAACATGAACATAATATAAAGAGAGTCATCTAGCCATCGTTGCCCAGTGTACTCGCCTCACCTGTTGCGAGGGAGGTGGTGCGAGGCTATCTCCCTGTGGATTGGTGATAACCCACAAGTATAGGGGATCGCAACAGTTTTTAAGGGTAGAGTATTGATACGTCCATTTTACATCATGTTTACCTACTGTTATTTTATAATGTTTTTATGCATAATAATTCTTTTTGGAGTAATTATAGTGCCTTTTCTCTCATAATGTGCAAGGTTCACACAAAGAGGGAGAATTCCGGCAGCTGGAAATCTGGACCTGAAAAAACTACGTCATGCTACCTATTCTGCACAACTCCAAATGAGCTGAAACTTCATGAGGAATTTTATGGAATAAATAAGAAATAATGGAGAAAATAGCTACCGGAGGGGGGCCACCTGGTGAGCACAAGACACCAGGGCGCGCCAGGCCCCCCAGGCACGCCCTAATGGGTTGTGCTCGGCCCAGCCCATCTCCGGTGCCCGTTTTCTGGTATATAAGTCATTTTGACCTAGAAAAAATAAGGAGGGGGCTTTCGGGACGAAGCGCCGCCGTCTCTAGGCGGAACTTGGGCAGGAGCACTTTTGCCCTCTGGCGGAGCGATTCCGCCAGGGGAACTTCCCTCCTGGAGGGAGAAATCGTCGTCCTCATCATCACCAACAACTCTCCCATCTTGGGGAGGGCAATCTCCATCAACATCTTCAACATCACCATCTCCTCTCAAACTCTAGTTCATCTCTTGTGTTCAATCTTTGTACCGGAACTATAGGTTGGTACTTGTGGGTGATTAGTAGTGTTGATTACATCATATAGTTAATTACTATATGGTTTATTTGGTGGAAGATTATATGTTCAGATCTATTATGCTATTTAATACCCCTCTGATCATGAGCATGATTAGGTCATGGGAGAAACCTTGTTGCAAGTAATCATGTGAATTTTATATGTGTTTGATATTTTGATAGTATGTATGTTATGATTCCCTTAGTGTTGTCATGTGAACGTCGACTACATGACACTTCATCATGTTTGGGCCTAATGGAATGCATTGTGGAGTAGTTATTAGATGATGGGTTGCGAGAGTGACAGAAGCTTAAACCCTAGTTTATGCGCTATTCCGTAAGGGACCGATTGGAACTAAAAGTTTAATGCTATGATTAGAATTTATTCTTAATACTTTTCTCATAGTTGCGGATGCTTACGAGGGGGTTAATCATAAGTAGGAGGTTTGTTCAAGTAAGAACAACACCTAATCACTGATCCACCCACATATCAAATTATCAAAGTAGCGAACACAAATCGAACCAACATGATGAAAGTGACTAGATGAAATTCCTGTGTACCCTCAAGAACGCTTTACTTATTATAAGAGATCTTTTTGGCCTGTCCTTTGCCTCAAAAGTATTGGGCTACCTTGCTGCACTTTTCTTACTATTATCATTATTTGCTCGTTACAAATTATCTTGCTATCAAACTACTCGTTACTCATAAATTCAGTGCTTGTAGAAAATACCTTGCTGAAAACCACTTGTCATTTCCTTTTGCTCCTCGTTGGGTTCGACACTCTTGCTTATCGAAAGGACTACGATTGATCCCCTGTACTTGTGGGTCATCAAGTATTCAACCCAAATTTATCGATTCGACACAAGGAGAGCCAAATAATATTCGCAAGTATTAGCAGTTGAGTTGTTAATTCAACCAAACCTGAAAGACTTAATATCTGCAGCAAGGTGATCAGTAGTAAAGTAGTATGATAGTAAATGTAACAGTAGTAGCAGAAACAGTAGCAATTTTGTAGTGATTGTAACAGCAGCAGCAGCGAAAGTAACTTAGTAAAGATCAATATGCGAAAAGCTTAGGCATTGGATCAACGATGGATAATTGTGTTGGATGGCATTCATCATGTAGCAGCTGTAACCTATAGCGACATAGAACTAGATCCCATTCATCAATGTGGTGTAGGCATGTATTCTGTATATAGTCATACATGCTTATGGAAAAGAACTTGCATGCCATCTTTTGTCCCACCCTCCCGTCGCAGCGGAGTCCATAAGGAAACTAAGGGATATTAAGGCCTCCTTTTAATAGAGAACCAGAACAAAGCATTATCATTTAGTGAATACATGAACTCCTCAAACTATGGTAATCACCGTAAAGAATCTCAATTATTGTCACCTTGGGGTATGCAGATCATAACTCGTAATACGTGCATATAACTGCAAGATAGGATCAAGAACTCAAATATATTCATGAAAACATAATAGGTTCAGATCTGAAATCATGGCACTTAGGCCCTGGTGACAAGCATTAAGCATAGCAAAGTCATGTCAACATCAATCTCAGAACATAGTGGATACTAGGGATCAAGCCCTAACAAAACTAACTCGATTACATGATAAATCTCATCCAACCCATCACCGTCCAGCAAGCCTACAAAGGAATTACTCACTCCTCGGCGACGAGCATCATCAAATAGGCGGTGAAGGAAGGTTGATGATGATGACGACGACGTATTCCATTCTCTGGAGCCCCGAACGGACTCTAGATCAGCCCTGCCGATGAAGAACAGGAGGTGGTGGCGGCTCCATATCGTAAAACACGACGATTCCTTCTCTTTGATTTTTTTCTTGGCAAATAGGTATATATGGAGTCAGAGTTAGGATTGCTGGAGGTCCAGGGGGCCCACAAGCTCGCTAGGCGCGCCCCCTGGGGGTGGGCGCCCCCCTGAGCTTGTGGCTCCTGGGTGGCCCCTGATACGTCTCCAACGTATCTATAATTTTTTAT